TGCAGGGGCCGACTCTGGTGACTGACACATTTCTGCCTTTGGCTTTGATAAGCCCTTGACCAAGGTGTTGCTGAGGCTGGCTGGCCATCAGATACCTCAGGGTAACTTTGCCTATCTTCTTTGCTCCCACATACTTTGTGTAATCTCATGGTTACACACTCAGGAGGCATTATAACTTCCACGTTCAAATTGGCAGAGACCCTCATTTCCCCCAAAGCCTCTCACGTACCTGTGGGAGCCCCAGAGCTGAGGGGAGAGGCTATGCTGTCATTCTCAGCAGCGGTGGTGTTCACACAACTCACTGCTTGCTTGACCAATAAAGTGGCCCTTATGCCCCTTTCCCTTGGGTTTGGAGGGTGGGTTGGTACAGCCCCTTCCACTTCTCAGAATATGTTCACATACCTTGTATGAACATCATGACACTGGGAAGTAAGCTCCATCAGGCTGGGGTTTTGGTCCATTTTGTTCTTCGCTTTATCCCTGGTGCCTACGTAGTCCTGTGAAGAGGTAAGGATTTTTACAGATGAAGAACCTGAGGTTCCGAGAGTTCTTTTGACTCCCTCAATGGAGAGACCTTCTAGCTCTGAGTCCAGTGTTAGGGCTGCTTTTCGGAGCCCAGACTAACCTTTCATTCCTATAAATTATATGAGAAAGGACAAGGGACTGTGTCTGTGGTGTGATGTCACACAGAGGAAAGGACACCAAAATAGAAGTTTAAAGTCTGGGTTCTTTTTTTTTTTTTAATTTTATTTTTTTATTTGACAGAGAGAAAGATCACAAGTAGGCAGAGAGGCAGCAGAGAGAGGGGGGAAGCAGGCTCCCTGCCAAGGAGAGAGCCCGATGCGGGGCTCAATCCCAGGACCCTGAGATCATGATCTGAGCTGAAGGCAGAGGCTTAACCCACCGAGCCACCCAGGTTCCCCTAAAGTCTGGGTTCCAATATTGTCACTGATGCTTTCCAGTCTTAAGACCCCAACTCCAGGCTCCGGTGAACCTGTGAGAAGAGCATGGATGTGAAATGTATTCTAAATAGAAAGGTGTGTTCATGGCTGCGTCTCACCAAAAACACATATTGAAGTCGTAACTCCCACTATCTGTAAGGATGGTCTCGTGTGGAAATAGGGTCTTTGCAGCTGTAATCAAGTTGAGAGGAGGTCCTACTGGATTAGGGTGGGCCTTCAACCCAGTGACTGGAGGTCCTTATAAGAAGGTCACAGAGACACAGACACAGGCAGAGGGAAGATGGCCATGTGAAGATAGAGGCAGAAACTAGAGTGATGTAAGTATAAGCCAAAGAATGCTGGGGATTACTGGCAGCCCCCAGAAGCTGGGAAGAGATGAGGAATGATTTTTCCCGGGAGCAGTCAGAGGGAGCTTGGCCCTACTGACACCTTGAGTTTAGAAAGGTGGCTTTCCGCACATTTCCGTTGTTTTAGCCATTGAGCCTGGGCTCATTTGTTATGGCAGCCCCAGGACACAAACACAGGTGTGGCGTATGTGTCAAGGAAATGCCTTGTGGAGACAGATGGCTCAGCACCGCATGGACACTTCTCCAAAGTGAAGTGATCCGTCAGTGCTGGTAGGCCCCCAGACAAATGAACTTTCTTCCACGATGCCTGTGTTTCCCACATTTTCAGTTTGTCCTTTCTTTAGAGAGGAGGACACAAAACGAGCTATGGAGTGGTGTGGAAAAAGCAGACAGAAGAGATCTGGGGAACGTCACCTGATAGTGCTGGGGTGTCAAGAGGGACCCTCAAGCATAGGTAATCCCTGAGGGTCAGAGCTGAGGTCCCCAGAGAGGATGCTGGCTGGGCTCATGGAGCACGGTCACTGAGAGGCACAAACGCCCTGGCAGGAAAGAGGGCCAGCACAGAGAGACATTGATATATCTGATTCTAATATAGTGGCTTCTTCATAGGGCCAAAGACTCTTGGCAACATCTGGTAACTCCATTCATTAGGCCTGCATTGTCTCCTGCTTCCCTTCTGACCTGGGTTTTCCTATCCCTCCTGCTTGTGTGGTGAAGATAGGATAGAGCCAAGGGCAGTGATCTGCATCCCATAATACTGTTGTGGGAAAAACAAAACATGATACTAACAAACCCTTAGGTCTGGATGGGATTTAGAACTTACAAAGTACTTTCACATAAAATCCCTCTTGATTGGGTCTCCTTGTGAAAGGAGCCAGAGGTGCCTAGCCATGAAAGACGGGTCTGTCCCCTGATTCAGAGAGTACAGGAAATCCTAAGTAAAACCATGCCAAACCCCCCCAAAGTGGATAAGCATCAGGTTAGGAAACCGTAATACACACAGGCCGTAACCCAACATCCTAATTTGAAGCCCTATCCGATAGCAAAGAGAGACTGAGCTCACAGAAACAGCTGAATGTCATCTGGGCAAAAGTCCCAAGATGAAAACAGGACTTCTGTTGTTAGGAAATGGGAGACTAGGTAAATTTAGACCAACCCTTTCACTAAGGACACCAAAAGATGTACAAATATCTGAAAAGCATCAAAGAGCTAACAAAATACTGCAGAATTACAAGGCTGACATTCCAGAGAGGACAGGAACTCAGACAGGTGAGCCCAGCATTCAGGGCCACTTCTTCCCTGGAGGCACTTACCCATTTGGAAGAAGGCTAGAACACTAAGTTGTGTTTCTGAACGTCTGGGGACTTGGGTGGGGGGGGGGCGGCAGCATTGGAGTACAGGGCCCACCAAAGGTGGAAAGCTGGTAAACCACTGCCTGTTTGGGGCTGTGACCCCAGAGAATTGTGCCCTTAAAGGTAAGGATGAACCAAAAGCAAACCAGCTCTTGCATAGTCTGATAAGTCTACGGACTGGTTTCAGTGACCTGGGACTCTCCAACCTTGATCTGGAATAATGTGATTCCAGAATTCTAGTGCCCCTGGGCACTTGACAGAGGCAAACAAAAAACCCCTCTCTAAAGAAGAAATCATCCTAAGCAAAATATTTCAATAAATATAAATATTTCAATAAATAAATAAGTAAATAAATAATGTATTTTATAAATACCATGTCCAGCACAAAATAAAAAATAATGAGGCACTTGGAAGACCGATCAGGGAGAACTAGCCAAAATTAGGCAACAGAAACACGTTCACAGGGATTCCATTTATTGGAATTATCACAGACTGAACACAAGCAAAGTTCTAGAAAACTCTTCCAGTAGTAATTCTGGCCATTTGGACTCCTAATTTTCTCTCTAATCCATCCTCATTTATTGCCCGCATTTACGATCTCCATTCTGTCTGCATTCACCGCTGTCTCCAGAGCTATCTTCTTAGAAAACAAATCTGACCTTGCCTTAGCCGTGTTTAATGGTATTCAAGGCCCTTTGCAATCTGTCCTAACTTGCCCTTTCCAACCTCATCAGTCAGGACCCCTCCCTCTCACAATTTCTGGTCATATGGCAAGACTTTTCCATGAATATCCTCCCTCTACCTTGAACATCCTCTCCTCCCACGTTATCCTGAAAAACGCCTCCTCATCCTTCAAAGTCCAATTTAAAGCTCTTTCCTTGAAGCCTTTCTGAATTCGAAACTCTAACTCCCAGTTTTGTAATACAATGTTGACATAATGTATTATATTTATTTTTTAAAAAGATTTATTTATTTACTTATTTGAGAGAGAGAGATTGTGAACATAGGGTGGGAGGGGCAGAGGGAGAGGGAGAGGATCCCAAGCCGATCCCCTGCTGAGCGTGGAACCCCATGCGGGGCTCAATCCAGGACCCTGAAATTCAGACCTGAGCTGAAACCAAGAGTGGGATGCTCAACTGACTGATCCACTGAGGTGCCCCTATAATTATTTGTTTATAATTCTGTTTCTCAAGTACATTGTTAATTTCCTAAGGTTAGGGTCTGTTTTATTTATCCAGAGTTCCTGGCATTTAGCATAATGCTTGGCTAAGTGCTCAACATCTATTTATGAAAGAAGGAAGGGTATTCTCTCTCTTTCTTTCTTCTTTTTTTAAAGTAAGCTCTATATCCCTAGTAGGGCTTGAATTCACAATCCTGAGATCAAGAGTCACATGTGCTACTGACTGGGCCAGCCAGGCACCCCTAGGAAAGGGTATTCTTTTTTTTTTTTTTAAGATTTTATTTATTTATTTATTTGACAGAGAGAGAGATCACAAATAGGCAGAGAGGCAGGCAGAGAGAGAAGGGGAAGAAGGCTCCCTGCTGAGCAGAGAGCCCGATGCAGGGCTCCATCCCAGTACTCTGAGATCAGGACCTGAGCCGAAGGCAGAGGCTTAACCCACTGAGCCACCCAGGTGCACCTAGAAAAGGGTATTCTTAATATATAAGGCACTACAGACTCATGGACTGAATCGTGTCACCCCAAAAGTCATATGTTGAAGCCCTAACCCCCAGTGTGACTGTATCTGGAGACAGGGTCTTCCTAATCCAGTAGGACTGGGATCCTTCTCAGAAGAGGAAGAGATACCAGAGACCTCTCTCTCTCTCCACATGTGCACAGAAAAAAGGCAAACAGCAAGAAGGTGGCTGTGTGCAAGCCAGGCAGAGATGCCCCATCAGAAACCAGCTCTGTTGGTACCTTGATCTTGGACATCCACCCAGCCTCCAAAACCATTAGAAAATAAATTTCTATTGTTGAAGCCACCTAGTCTGTGGTGTTTTTGTTATGGCAATCCAAGCCGATGCATAGAGCACCTCTGGGATTTCCAACATGTATAAATCAGAAGTTATTTATTCTTATTTCTTATTCGTATTAAGAATTCTTATTAAGAATTCAACACAGAGGGGCACCTGGGTGGCTCAGTGGGTTAAGCCTCTGCCTTTGGCTCAGGTCATGATCTCAGGGTCCTAGGATTGAGCCCCGCATCGGGCTCTCTGCTCAGCAGGGAGCCTGCCTCCTCCCCCCTCCCTCTGCCTGCCTGTGATCTCTCTCTCTGTCAAATAAATAAATAAAACCTCTTTAAAAAAAAAAGAATTCAACACAGACTGACAAGGATGGGTAGGGAGTGCACACAATGACTTTCAGAAAATGGCTTTTTAAAAAGTTTTATTTCAAGAACTTTGTTGTTTACTCTTATTTCAAAAAAAGGTGGGTCCAAGTACAAAAAAAAAAAGTCAGTTGAAATAAAAGCGTAGGTTTAGAAATCACAGCGGCAGAAGCAATGTACAGACAGCACAGACAAAGCAACCCAACGTATGCGGTTCTGTTCAGCTTCTTTGCTTATTTTGTGTTTTCTCCCTCCTGTACAAAATACATCAAGGCATGCCATGAGACCAGAGAAAGAAAGCGTTTAACAAATGGTTCCAAGAAATAGACTCTGTACAAGAGGAGGTCACGTCTCTTCCCCCGCCCCCCGCCCGCCATGCCCTCTCTTCTTGCTCTGCTTCAGGTGAGGTCATTCTGAAGACAGTTCACCTCCAAGTCCGCCTGGTCACCTTTGCCACCCTCGAGCTTGGGTGACATGGAGTTCTGGATGTTAAATGACTCCTCCTCTTTCAGGCAGGACTTGAGAGCTTCCTGGATTTTGTGGGGAGCACTGGGATCATCCTGGAAGAGGGAAAAGGGTGAGGGAGGGGTGGGAAGGAGACGGCGGATAGAGGGGGTCAAAGAAACACCCCAGGCTTTGGAGAGAAGAAAGAAAGAGACTCTAAGACTCGAACGAACCGAACGGATGCCTTTGCCGCCGCTTTCTAGGAAGGTCACCCTGAAAAGTACACGTCCTCTGACGGAGGCCAGAGTGTGTGTGCCCCTTACTGGCAGGGGTTTATCTACCAAGAGATGCTAACTTGAAAGGTGTTTCCTCAACCCACGCCCGGGTGAGTCCCGCTGCCTCAACAGGCCTGTCGTCCTTCGTGTCGGATGGGACTCAGCTGCTGGTTCACCATCTGTTCCTGACGGGCACCGAGCCCTCCTGCCTACCTGGGTGTGTGTGCTGCCCACAGCCCTCGGACCGGCTCCGGACCCGGACCTGAATTTTCTTGTTGCAGGCTTTCAGGAAACCCACAGCGGTCCACAGTCCCCCAGTTCTGCATTCTGGGCATTCTGAGCCATGCCCTGCCTTCCCACGGCTCTCTTCCTTCAGGGCCGTCCGGGCCTTACAGGCACACCTCATTTTCTTGTGCTTCGTAGACACCGCATTTTTTTTTTTTCCATACAAATTGAAGGTCGGTGGTAACCCTGGGTTGAGCAAGTCTATCGGCATCATTTTCCAACATCGTTTGCTCATTTCCTGTCTCTGTGTCACACTTTGGTGATTCTCACAATATCTTAAACTTTTTCATTATTATTGTTATGTGATCTGTGATCAGTCATTACAACTCGCTGGAATTCCGCTCAGATGATGGTTAGCATTCTTTAGCAACAACGTGGTTTTAAATGAAGGTATGTACACTGTTTTGTTGGCCACTTACTACACTATAGTATGGTGTAAACCTGACTTCTGTATGCACTGCAAAACAACAACTTTCCTTTTATTTGCTTAATTTTGCTATTTATTTGTTGTGGTGGTCTGGAATGGAACCCACCATATCTCGGAGATGGGCCCGCACACCCATGGGATCGGCGGGCCTCAGCTCTTTCTCAGGCACCCCAGATAGCTACTGTGAGTGCTTGGAGGTCTGCTGATCACAGGCACGGGTGGTGAGAAGGGTAGGGAATGTTGCTCTCTGACCAGCTAGCTCAGACTTTTCTGACTTTAACCACTTCTGAAGTCGAAGGGAATCATCATGCTTTGGGAGCAGGACCTACTCCGTACAACTGTGGTTAGTTCTTGCCCATGCTGACTGCTACCGAGTTTGACCCATTATGGCACTGGGTTGGGGTAGTGACTGGTTGGAAAGAAAGCAGAGAAAGTCTCCAGGCTCACACAGGACACTATAGGTATTCAAAAGGACTGTGTGCATACAAAAATCACTGTCGCCTCTCCCTGTCCCCAGCCTCACTTGGCACTTTTCCAGAAGACTATCTTCAACCGAGCAGTACAGTAGAGTTTCAAAGACCTCAGGAATGATTTCCAGACCACAGGGGAACACATGTTCCCCATTCCGAATGCCACAAGGGCCAGAAGCAATGAACTTCATACGGTATTGAGGCAGATTTCAGGCCCTTGGCATTTTCTATTATTGCTGGGAGAGATTTAGAAAAAAACTTCAATGACACACATACAGATGTAGTGAGATGGAAAGATCTCCCTGATATGTTCAGTAATTATATGCACTCATACACACACACACACACACACACACACATACACAGGCTGTATGGAGAGGGAAGCAGGATGAGGAAGAACTGTACTTTTCATGCCGCGTAATTCTGTGTTGTCTGGGGAGAGACAATGGGCTCGGAAGCTTGAGAGCTGTGCCTTTAAAGATCCCAGGCAGAGCAGACTTTGCATCACAGCAAATCTGGAGTAGGACAGGATGGCCTGCACTTGCCAAGCCTCTTACAAAGATGGGACTCACTTTCGTTGTTCAACACCACCTCCCTCTGACTGCCCCACCCACCGCCATCACACAGTCTTTGGGGGCAAACAGGCTTCGTGTGAGGAAAAGTATATTTAGGGGCACCTGGGTGGCTCAGTGGGTTAAAGCCTCTGCCTTCAGCTCAGGTCATGATCCCAGGGTCCTGGGATCGAGCCCCTCATCGGGCTCTCTGCTCCACGGAGAGCCTGCTTCCCCCTCCCTCTCTCTGCCTGCCTCTCTGCCTACTTGTGATCTCTGTCTGTCAAATAAATAAACAAAATAAAAAAAAAAGAAAAGTATATTTAGGGGTGCCTACAGACATGGGCATCAAAGCTGTGAGGCCATGAAGGTGGGGGCCCAAATTAAGCGTGGCTCCTGGGATCTAGACAGATGAGAAAATGGACTTCTGGGCAAACAGGTGCGATGAGTATATTCTAAAAATAAGGAACACAGGTATCCAAACAATGCTATTAGACAAGCTAAGTACTTCCAACAAACAGGGCAGGTGAGAGAGTGTCTGAACCAAGACAGAGCTATGCTAGCCCAAGCGTCTCCGCCAGAACTGGATCCTAGCAAGCCTAGGGTTGCTGATTCCTCAGCAGAAGGCCCATCTGCCTTTGAAGTGCCAGAAATCCCTCAGAGCAAGGGAGCTGACCCTCTAGTTGGCCTAAGTCCTGGAAACTGCTCCGTGTTCCCCTTCCTGGCATTCCACCCCAGCCAAATGGGTATCCCTCAGGCCAGGAGTGGTGTGGGTTCAGGCCTGGAGTCCCACTTGTCCAGACACAAACCTCCCTCAGCAGGGGGCACGAAAGAAATAGAGCCTCGGAAGGAAGAAAGATTGAAATGGGGAGGGAGGGGCGCCTGGGTGGCTCAGTGGGTTAAGCCGCTGCCTTCGGCTCAGGTCATGATCTCGGGGTCCTGGGATCGAGTCCCGCATCGGGCTCTCTGCTCAGCGGGGAGCCTGCTTCCCTCTCTTTCTCTGCCTGCTTCTCTGTCTACTTGTGATCTCTCTCTGTCAAATAAATAAATATAAAAATCTTAAAAAAAAAAAAAAAGAAATGGGGAGGGAGTGCAGAGAAGCACTAAGGGACACCACAGAAATGCGCCAGTAAGGAATAAACTGAAATCCTGGAAGGTCTGTGGAATCTTGGGAAGACCGTGTCATATCCGTGACATTCTATGGACAGCACGGCTGTGAGATCCAACGGGGCGGCGCGCGGCATTGGCCTCTGGATTTCAGGTGACATTAGCCACGCTGCGCTTCCCACACACTGGCCATTGCTCCTGGAGAACTCGCAGGCCTCCATAGCACAGGCAGAGGAGAACAGGTTCTCCCTTCCCTCCTGATGCTCCTTTCAGGGGCTGGCTGTTTGGCTGCACACAGGCTCACAGGCTCAAGCAGCCACTGGCTCGCCTGCTGCAGAGCCCAGGTGAGGAGTAGCACTGGACGACTGCAGGTGGGGAAGGAAGCGCCCGACAGGGCTTCACTTCGAACTAAAGTGGCAACTGTCTGAACCGTCAGTGCCCACAAGGTCTTGAATATGATCGAGTCTGACTTGTAGGCTGGATGGAGAGAATTAAGAGCTGAAGGGAGGAGATCCGGGGGTACACACCCTGCTGGACAGGAAAGTCATCCCCTCTCACACTCAGAGCTTTGGCAGAGAGGACAGGATGTCCCCTGGGGCACAAGTGGAGGGCAAGATGCCAGGTTGACACAACCTGCAAGATCCAGGAGGAGCGGGAGACCACCAGAGCCTCATCTTGCCCCTCCACGGAGCGATGTCCTGAGCACTACCCTGACAGCCCCTTCTCAGGTCCTTCTCAGGCAGAGTCTCCCATGGTGGACCAGCCTGTGCTCTGCTCCAGTTTTAAGCCTTGTGGTATTCTGAACTCAAGGTCACTGGACAAATGCCGTACCTTCTACAAAGTCAGGTCAGCCAAGGAAACCTCGGTATTGGCTCATACCACTGAGACCTTCAAGAGGAGCTATTTCCTTCCCCTCCCTTTTTGGGAAGAGGAAAGTTGTCTGTCTATACCTGGGATGCCAGAAGAATGTACGCATCAGAAACTTTCCTAAGGACCCTTGCTCTCTGGACAAGGAAGACCCTGCCTCCAGAAACCATAGTACAGGTCTGGCGGGCTGCCCCACACATACAGTGGAACCAGGAACCACCACACAGGTCTGGTGGGCTGCCCCATGCATACAGCGGAACCAGAAGGCCCCGCTAGGCCATCTTTTGCCAGCATCCCACAAATGGCGACCACACATGTACCACCGCGTGGGGCTGAACGAGGTAGGGATGGAGTGTATGGAGACGAGGGAGGCTCTTCCGGCCCTCAAGGTGCCTATCTCGAGGGCTGGTTAAAGTGCTTATCAATCTGAACGTTTATAAGACATCTGGCGTCCTGGGTTATTAGATGGTCTTGAACGTATTAGTATCTCGGTGCATACCCAGTAAAATCTTATCTGCTTCTCTACTCTTTGTATCAAAGACTTTAACAAATTATCCTAAACTAACCTCTTCGATTTCTTCTTTAAAGTCAACCCCTTTCCTCCTCCTCCACCAGGCCAAGTTCTTCCTTGGGATTTGGTGAACAAGGTCACGTTTACTGTTATTCTCTCTTTCCCCTCCTGGGGCTACACCATCCCCACCTATCAGAGGAAAACAGTGGTCTAGTTCCGTGCCGTCCCCACAGCAGCACAAGCCACTCTTCCGCAAGCTTCCCAGCCGCGGGTAGCTTGTGAGTCTGAGTTTTGCTCCCTTATCCACGTATCGATGCCTTCACCGTGTGGTACGGGACCTGTGTCATGTGCCGAAGTCCCGGGCTCGAATGTGACGTGATCTGGAGGAGCTTGGGCGGTTTCTGCTTTACTTATGAAATTTTCTCTCACAGTACCCAGTACTTTCTTTACCGGTTAGTGTGGTCCAGAAGACACACTAGAAGGCCAGGATCTTTAGAAACTGCTCGACTGGGACCTTCTCTTAAGTCTCAACTGATACTTACGAGCCCATCCTCCCAAGAACAGAATTTACCCCTAGACTTACTATGACACCAGTGCTCTGTGCCCTCCTCAGCTTTCACCAGCATAAATATGCCTCCTTGGACAGTGTAAAGGACACTGGTCCAGCCATCCCGAAGAGCAACCACCATTCACTTCAGTGACCACAAGGACATCCCCTCACTATGAAAACAGTCTTTCTTCTCCATACAGAGAGCAGAAAGACACGGGGAAGGAAAAATCGGACTTCTAAAGTCTAGATAAAGCTAAAAATCCCGAGTCATCCTGGAAAAAGATCTTTGGTACCACCTATAGCTGCCTGTCAAGGAAGCGGTGCGCCATCCCTGTCCTAGTCCCACGTCACCACCCAAACTGGTCTCTCCACGCTCACCTCCAGAGTTGGGAGGAGCTGTTCCCAGCTCGGAAGTAGCCCAAAGACAAGAGCAGTGGCCTGGGCAGGCCTATGGATAAGGGAGAGGGTGGGAAAGACGAGTCACAGGTGACAGACAAGTCATCACGGGGAGCCAAGGTGCGGGCATGTGGAGTGGGGAAAGGAGGTACAGGGACTGTGGCAAAGTTTCCTTACGTTTGGGTGAGAGCCCTCGGCAATGGTGGAGAGGGAGAAGTTATCGTTGTGGAGCTCAGACGGGGTCCGGAATTTGCTGGTTGGGACAGAAGAGAGCAGGGAAAACGTGAGTGCGACGATCATGGCAAAGCCTGCCCAAAGCGTCGCGGGTCAAACGCTTATTTCATCAGACACCATGGACCGTAATAAGGAGTGCCGTTATTTGATGCACCGCGGAGGAAAAAAACTTCTGCCCCTTAAACTGTGACCCAGGAACTTTCTTATCACCTAGAGTTTTTATTATATACTGGAAGTGGCTCACGGAGACTTCAGATAAAGCACTGACAACGATATGAACAGCTCTGGCCAGGACCGTGACTGCCAGGCGGTTACAACCACATCGTGACTGCCATCTGGCCAACAGTGATGATAAGATGCCAGTGATTGTGAGACGCAGTCCAATTTCAGAGACGCTAATATGTGGGGGAAAATGAGCGTCTCAGAAGCAGTACACTGCAGCAGTATCTGTAGTACACGGAGGACGTGGAGCGTGAGCCCAAAAGCAAGCAAGCACGCGCCGGGAAGTGAGGGTGGCATGCTCAGAGGTAAAGGTGCCACGGGGGCCAGGCTCTGTGCAGAACAAAAAGCCTGCTGATGGAGGAAGGCCTAGAACATGGTACTGTCTCTGGCCGCCACTCTTGCTTCTCCGCTGCCCTGTCAGCTGCTCCTTCTCTCCCGTGGCCTCCTCAGCAGCCACCCTGGTAGGTGGTCGCAGCGTGGCCCTCTCCTCCCCCTGCCACCCAGGGTCCTGGCTGATGAGGACATGCACGGATCTGGCCTGCCTCAGCACACAGGCACAATGGAGAGGCCCCTGCAGCGCCGGGACGGGTCGCTGAAAGGCTCTCAGCGGCCGCCCGCATCTGCACAGTGCAGGAGTTCACCCAGCAAAGGAGCAACAGATGGCCTTTTGTCCTTCTCCCAGGATCCCAGGGAAAGTACTTCAGGAGCATTCTCTGGAGGGAGTCTTGGGTCAGCGGGGGAGGGGAGTCAGGGGGCAACAGGTCGAAAGCGGGGGCAGTTCTGCATCAACTGTCTCTCGGGCCCCCAGGAAGCTGAAACGCAACCTCCTCCTTTTGTGACTCCCGTGACACTTCAGAACATTCCTTACTTTGCTCAGGGACAGAGTGACTCTCTCACAGTGCGTAAGGCCACGGCCAAGTGTGCAAGGCCTGGACTTAGAGGGAAACACGTGTGGATCTCACATGCACACAACAGTCACTCCTCTGCTAAGAGAGAAGCCTGAAGGAGACTCTATTCCCATCTGGCCCTGAAAATCCACCACAGAGGAAGCCTAGCCTAGGCCCTTCCACCCCCAAAACTCTACTTAGGAGAGGTCAAGAGGACTTCCCTAAATCCCTTGCACTTCTGTCTGGACCAGGTGCCGACAAGCTGGGCATGGCAATGCGCTGCCCAAGCCCTTCTCTCCAGCGTTCAGTCAGGAGGAGTCGGGCCTGGGAGACGGCAGGTCTGAGAGAGCTGGGGTTACTCCTCGCAGTCTGCGAGTGAGATCCTCACACTGGCCGTGGCCGGCAAAGAGCCAGGGAGCAGGTGCAGTCCGCTGTGGGAGGACTGAGCGCAGTAACGTACATGGGGGACCACGGCCAGGAGGGCGCTGGGTGTCTTTTCCTTAAGCACCCTCTGTCACGGGGTGGGGGGCACTGGGGATGGTGCCGGACAGTGTGCCCCAGGGGCTCAGGTCCTGCCACAATGCCAGCACGTGTTGTGCAGGAAGGGATCAACCTGGGAGCCTCTGGGATGGACAACACAACTAGGGAGGCACAGCAGGTGCCAGGAAGCCCCGTGGCCAGATCCCCGGGTCAGACAGCGGGGGCAGCCGCAGGAGCGGGGTGGGGCTGGCGGACTCAGACTCACTTGGTCCTTCGCAGCTTGGTATTCTCCGTCTTGAGCAGATAGAGCTTCTTGGCGAAGAACACGGTCATCATGAAGAGCAGGAGCAGGACGAGGGCGGCTGAGCCGACGGCCACGCACATCACCTGGAAGTCGGTGATGATGGACTCGCAGCGCATCCCCTTGTGCCAGATGTAGTCCTGCGTGTTGCACCTGGGGCAGGGACAGAGTGAGACTGAGGGGGCAGGCTGGTGGCCACGGCAAGGGCCTGGCCCCTTAGCCCCACATTCACCTCAGCAGCCTGTTCCCCTGAGGGTCTAGAGCAACTGGGGTGGAGGTTCTGCGTGACCACCCCACGCAGTGGGCAGGACAGCGCTGGGGTCCAGGACATAAATGAGACAACCAGAGTGCCGAGGGACGGAGTGAACAGGTCACTCACGTGACTGTTAAGGGACTGCATGGAAGGGGGGTGGGAACTCTGGTTTTCTACCTCGCAGCCTCAAGGAGGACAATCATAGGATTCTCTCAGCTCCCCTGCCCTTGGCTCTGGGTGAAAAACAAGATTAATGGGACCTCTGGCTACAAAAGTAGTCAACCCACTCTACCCGGGAAAACCTCTCCTGGTGTTCTGCAGTCCCGTCTAGTTCACGAGGCTCCCCAGACGCTGAAATAGAAGGAAGTGACAGACAAGGACGAACACAAAGATGGATGTGTAGTCTCCTCCTCTCTCTGCAGCCCCCCAAATTCTGCCCCTAAAGCTTCCTGTCCTATTACAATGAGAACGGTCATGAAAGCACAGTGAGAATCAACCCTCTGGGTGGGTTTCAGTCCTTTTGTTGAGTGACTTTCTCTTGCCCTTGGGGACATTCCCAGGCTCCAACTCTTCCAATGACATTGCTGTTTCCATGGGAACCAGGCTGCTTCAAAGAGGAAAGATGTGGAAGGATATAGAGGCAGGCAAAGGAGGGAGGACATGAACCTCAGGGTGAATGACAGACAAGAGAAAGGGGTCCAGAAAAGGGGAAATTACACCTCGCCTCAGAGAACTGACTACTCCACACCCGAAATAGTGTGCAGAGACATGACTAACAGGAAAGTCTTTCTTTCCCAACGGATGCTCTGCAGTCCTGGGAGGCTATCTGTCTGAGCGCAGTGGGCAAAGAAGATCCCACTAACCCACGGTTCTAGAAAAGTTCTGCCATAGCTCTGCTCATTTCCCTGCAGTGGGTCAGGGTGACAGAGACAAAGGCGTGCTGCAGTCTGCAACGGACGGCTCGGCAGTCTCCTGTGAGTGGAATGCAAAACAGTTTCTGAGCCACAGCTGAGCCTGGGCATGCACAGCCTGAGGAGGGATCTTTGGGAGGGAGGCCCGAGTGTGCCCCTGGGAGGGAAGGTGAGCAAGGGGAACTGATGGGGGGACTTGTGGAAAAGCCCTCTGAGGCGGAACCCACTGGAGGATCCCTGGTCAGCACAGCCAGGCAGCTTACTGAGGACAAGCTTGCTTTCTCACTCGGGAGTCCCTAGAGCTCCAGGAGCTTCTGGGAACTTTGCTAGCTCTCCAGAGGCATCGAGGGCTCTCCATTTCATGCGGTGATGGCAAGACTACTTTGAAGGTGAAAAGCCAGGCCTCCAGCAGGATGAAAGACAATGATTTCACACAGAGATTTCAGAGCTCCCAGGGTAAATCCCACTAAGCATCACTATCATCCCACTAACCAAAGCTTGAGGAGCAAAATCACAGGGTTCCCACATACTTCTGGTAGCCCTTAGCCAACTAGCAAGGTACTGTTGCCATAATGTCTTGATGACAGTTCCTCCTTTTAGCAATGACTGGACAACTCCAATCAGAACTGTGTGGACACATTCTATATGACTGACCTTAATCATTTCATGATCGCTTATAGGAAAGAAGGAACTGGAAGTCAGCTTTAATGCCAAAGGCACAACATTCACACTTTCTACACATTATTTTTCTATCAGAACATCAAGACCTGCAGAATTTGAATTCTTCACATACCTCCAAAAAGACCAAGAAAAAGAAACATCAGGAATGACACTTAGAGAAACACCTAGATTCCAGAAATGTTCCTCCTAGGACCAACAGAAACAAGTCCCAGAGCAATCTGGGGGTCCTACCCCACTTCCAGGGTCTATAAAGGATGGAGACAAGCAAACTACCCAGATCACTGCTGACTTGGGATTCTTCCAGAATAAGCCAGTGAGCTCTCCAGCAGGTTAATGACCTTGCCACGAGGGCAGGTGTATGATGTATTCCTGATGAGGCATGGGATGCTGGCTGCAGACAACGTCCTTAGAGACACTAAACTCTCAGGGTCTTTAAAACATTCTGTGCTGGAGGACAAAGATCAAGTAGAAGGGGAAAAGGCACTACCAAAGTCAAGGAACCCTTTCCTATGCCAGGAAAGATACTCTGCCTCACTTGACTTACTTAAGTGGCTGCTCTTGGGGTCTGCTCCTCACTGTGACTCTATACATCCGCCCCCTACAGGTGCCCTGTGGGTAGACAGAGTCCACCTCCTACCACAAATGTGTCTCAGAGGGCATGCTCAGAGGCCTTCTTTCCTCCAGAGCAGGCTTATAAGCCTACTCTTTGTGCTACGGTAGCCAGAACTCTCCCATGGGACCCCCTGAGCCAGTAAAGGCTGCTTTCCAAAACCCTCAGAGAAGTCCCTTCATTTTGCCTTTATAGTTTAGTGCTTTGGTATAGGGCACACACAGGAAGTACATTTAAGAAGTAACTTCCTGTGGAAGATATCGCGTGAACATCTCTTGACCTGGGAATCCCAGGAGCCTCTTGGCTTGGCAACTCACTACCTCTTGGAAGTTGTGCCCATCATGTCCTCCTCTTTGCTGAGTAGGCCTCACATATGCTTTTCAGTTCTTTTATAAGTCCCTGTGCACCTGCCTGCCACACCCTTACCTGCAGAAGGCCCCTATGTTCTCCACCAGGTAGCACTGGCCGCCATTGTGACAGTAACTTGGGAAGAGGTCGCACACTGACCGGCAGGAGCCATTATGCCGCACAAAGCCACTGCGGCACTCGGTGCCATTCTCGCTTGGGGCCAGGTCCCTGCCTGGCTCTCCTGGGCGGGGCCTGAGGGCGATGCTGCTGCCAGGGACCATCCCCAGAGTATGCTGTGGGGGGACGGCATGCCACCGACTGGTGGGCTGGCCAGTCCCGGGCCCCAGGCCAGGCTTCTCAGTGGGCATCAGAAGGTCACTTTCATCTTCCAGGTCTCCACCTCCTGCTGCATCCTTGTCATCCTCCTCTTCCTCCTCCTCTTCCTCCAAGTCATCATAGAAGGATGTAGTGGGGTAGAAGTCAGATTCATCAAAGGGGGTGAAGTCATCGTATAAGTCAAGCAGGCTCCAGGAGGGGGTCTCTCCCCCACTATCGGGGTGGTGCTCTGAGGTTCCTGGCGACCCCGGGAAGCTCTCCAGGTCGGCGCCATGGCCCTCACCATCCAATCCTTCGAAGTAGTCGATGTCAATTATATCTGACACTGGCTGGGGCTCCAGTGTGCCCTGAATGGGGAACGTGGGCTCTGGCCCATGTGGGTCATGTGTGCTGCCTCCCAGGTTCAGCCAAACTTCTAAGGGGCTCTCCTTGGGGAGTTCGGGGCCTGGGTTCAGCTTGTTGTCAGGAGTGGGGGAGGGTGGTTCGCTGGCCTCTGTAGCCTCGGGGGTAAGAGGGGGCATCGATGACTGTCCCAGGGCCTCCTCAGGAGACGGGGGCGTGGCTGACAGGGCCTGGGTGTCGCCGCTGCCCGCCTCTGCGGTCACTCCACCCAGGCCCGGGCTGTCGGCCTCCAGCCAGGCAGCGCCGGTCACTGCAGCGGACGCCTCCAGTGCCTCCTCTGGCCCGGCCCCAGGCCCCACCACAGCCGGTTGGCCGCCAGGTGAAGTCCATGAGGTCTCATCCTCCCCAGCAGCTGGTGGACCGGCCTTCTCCTGCGTGCTGTTGGCACGCGGCTCCCACTCCAGGACGCTCTTCACCTGCTCTTCGGCCTCGACGGCGCTGCCCGCCTCACGCGCTGTGGGCGGGAGGGAGGCGGCACGACGTCAGGGCCCCGCCCCCTGCCGCGGTTCGCTCTCCCGGCCTCCCCGCCCACCCGAAGACTCCAGGACCAGGTTTCCCAAAGCCACGCCCCACCGTTTAGGCCACGCCCCCAAGGCGGGGAACACACCCGGCCGGACGTTTCCCGCTCAGGCCCCGCCCCTCAGGCGGCATGCCCCGCCCCCGAAAGGCCCGCAGTGTAAACGGGGCGGCCCCCACCTTCGGCCCCAGGCAGAGGTTTGACCCTCAGGGCTCCACCCCACCGCCAGACCCCGCCCCGAAGTCGCACCCTCAAGGCCCCGCCCCACTCCAGGCCCCGCCCTGAGGTCGCATCCTCAGGGCACCATCACCTCCAGGTCCCGCCTCGAAGTCGCACCCTCACGCCCCGCCCACTCAGGCCCCTCCCCCCAGCCGGCACCTCTGCCCACCCACCCCGGTCCGGGCCGACCCCCACCCCTCGGCCTCCTCCAAGTACCCCACCTCCTCGCGCGCCCCTTCCTCCGCCCCCGTCGCGAGCAAGGCGCTGCCCCGCCCCCTTGCCATAGCTCGCGAACTCCGCCTGTACCCGAGGCCAGCGGGACCCTGGCCCAGGGTGAGGTGCGAGAGCCACTGGGGTCCCGGTCGCAGTCGGTACCTACCCGGCGCGGCCCCGGCGGCAAGGACCAGCGTGGCCCCCAGAAGCAGCAGCAGCAGCGGCGGCGGCCCCGGGCCCGGGCCCCCGCCCCCGGCTCGGCCCATGGCGCGGCGCGCCGACCGCTGTCCACGGTCTGCCCGTCTGGCTGCGCCCTCGGCTCGCCGGCCGCCGCGCCTCCCGCCCGCGCTGCGGCCGTCTCAGCCCACGGTGGGCAGCGCGAGAAGCCGCATGCCGCCGCCGCCGTCCGCCGCTGTCCCCGGCGCGCCGCGCCTCCCCGCCTCCCGCGCCGCCGCTGCCGCGCTCAGCGCCGCCCCCACCCCGCCCGCCGCGCCCGCCCCGCCGCACGTAGCTCTGACGCCTGCCCTGTTCGGTCCGCCTGCCGTGGACAGACAGACCCCCGGCTCTGGAAGCCGAGACAAACGGACGTGGAGTAGCGCGGGTGGGTGCGGAGCACAGCGCCGCGCGTGGCGTTAGCCGACAGGTGCACGGGCGGGAGAGCTGCGGGGCGGGACAGCCCTCCCCGTGGAGGGCTGGCACGGGCTCCCCCCGACCTGCGAGGAACCCACCCGCCACGCGGCGAGCACGGAGGCGGGGGCCCAGACACCCGCAAGTTCGGGGCGGGGCTCGGGAGGGCCGCAGGGGGCGGAAGCCCGAGCTCGCGCTGTGGAAATGAACCGAGTCCGCGGCGCACGGAGCCTCTCGGATTTCTGCGCCAATGCCGTGTTCGCGGCGGCGAAGGGTCTCGGGGACGTCTGCGGGTGCCCACGGGGGCGGGGCAGGCGCCGGCAGCGCCAGGCAAGGGGGCGAAGCTGACCGCCCAGGCTCTAATCGGATCAGACCTAATCCGTCCACAGCCAAAGCGCAGACCTCGCACAGCCAGGCCCTCCACAAGGCAGCCCAGGGGCGGGGGGCAAGACCCTTCTGAGACTACGTCTACTCCCGCCTTTCTTCTCGTCTCCTCGGGGTAGCCTGGGCAGCACCCTTTAATCCTGGCCCCTTCCTCCCAGGATCCATCACCACCACCCTCCCAACACACATGTGTCCCAGACCAGCAAACTCAAGGTCCTGGGCTGACCCAAGGAGCCAAGATCGCAGCCGAGGGACGCGCGGGCTCCAAGAGCGGTGTTAGACTAGTGTGCGGGCTCACCGAAGCTCGGTGTTCAGCCAGGGACCCCTCATCCCCAGATACATGCTTGGTGGGGAGTTGTGGCCTAGTCCTGGTAGCTTATCCCAAAGCAACCACCCACCTCCTGGTGTGTTATTGACCCAATGACATTCGGGGTCACCACCTTAGATGTGACACCCATGGTATTTCTGTCTCTAGGGAGCCACATAGGTAACCAAGTTGGAGAATCTATCTCCTCACGTTCTAGTGCATGTCTCTGGATGGCATTCCCTTGGTTCAAAGTGGGTTCCTTTCACAGACAGTCCTGTGACAGGAGCCTCTTAGGCAGGCTGGTGTTCCCTGCCCTCCAAGTCTGCCTGGAAAACGGGCTCAGAAAGCTTGGTTCCATTACCTGTCCCTTCTGCGAAGCCTTCCCAGCCTCCCGGTGATATCGTCTGTCTACAGCAATTCCCCACTGGACTATGGAGCACACTGAGTGCACAGGACCAGGCGCTGGGAGGTTCCGGAAGGGCGGCAGAAGCAAACATGCACCAGTGACAACCAGATACTCCCACCACGGAACATGGTCTGGAGCTTCCTGCAAAGGGGCTGACTTTGTGAGGTTCTTTCCATGGCTTCATGCTGCCTCTGGGGACAGTAAATACCGGTTTGGAATAGTCTTCTCCGAACAGAGGGCCAGGCTGGGCTTTGCACTTGCTGGCTGGCCACAGAGGCACTAACGCACCCTCCAACCCCATCTCTGCTTCCCTTTTCTGTGGCTTACCTCTGTATTTTCTTTTTTGGCCTATGTACAAGTCTGTGTTCCTCTACTTGGGTCTGACTCTTGGGTGGTGGTTGTGAGAGTGGAGACGTGCCTACCTCCTCCTTCCCCAGGCGGGTCTGTCCGGGAATGAGGCCTCACCAATGGGGCCTTGACAGCTGGGGCATGAGGACCACTCCCGTGTTTTTCACTAGGAAGTTCTGAATGGGACCCTTCTCCCATTTCTCTGTTAAAACTCCAGCTACTCCAGTTTCTCATTTTAATATATTTTATTGAATATTTAAATATATTCTTTTAAGTTCAATTAAAAAAAAACAATTTTTAGGTAGGTTCCATGCCCAATGCGGGGTCTGCACTCACCACCCTGAGATCAAGTCACATGCCCCACCCTCTCAGCTGGCCAGGTTGGCTTCAATTTAATTTTTGAATTATAATACACACATTGTATAAAATAAAATATGAAATGTCGCCTTCCTCAATGACCTCCTTCCCTAATTTGGGGACAAATTCTTTTAACCACTTTCTTCATTTGGGATCCTAAACCAATGGTTTGCCATTCACGTTCATTCTGATTCCCCCTAGACCTCCGAACGGAGCACGGCACACCAGGTTTGGAGACGCCTCGAGATGAATGGAGAAGCTCATCAGGCAATGGAGTGTGACAGGTAAAGCAGGATACAGCATCAGCTCTGCGTGACCTTGGGAGTCAGTAACGCATCTCTTTTATGAGATGGTGGTAGGCACAGTGTCCAGGGATTGCATTACTTTTTCTGGGCACAGGGGTTAGGGTGGGCTAAATAAGAGAACTAAGACATAGGAACTACAGAGTCGAAGAAAGGGAGATTAACCCCGGTCTAGAGCCCACACCCATGTCCCCACATCCAAGTCTTGTGCATTTGGGCATCAAGGATGCTTTTGTGAGGCAATGGCTTCCACATGCCTCTGAGGTTCCTATTGGGTTTGGCAACCTGCCTCCAACACCAAGGCAGGCACAAGGCCCATTTCCATGGCTACAGCCTGCCTCCTTGGGCACAGAAAGCCTCTAGATTAACTAGGGGCTGCTGTCCAGGGCAGGAGCTGCTTCAGTTGCCATGGTTGGGGCATACTTCATTCTGAACAGGAAGCTGCGTGGCTCCAGGCTTTAAGTCCTTAGTAGTAACTAGTAACATTTCTGTGAGTTTTTAGTCTTCCTAGTACTCTGATTTGTCAAATCTCGTAACCATTTTGCACATTTGCAAACTGACACTGAGATCATGCTAATGATGTGGTAAGGCCAGGATTTGAGCCAAGATCTTGATTTCAAACCTTTTCATCCTTGCTTCTTAATTTCAAGAGGAATCAGGATGCAGAGGTCAGGCCTCACTTGGCAGAATGGAAGCCTAGCCTCTCTCCCCAACCCCTGCACCTACACCTAGGCATTTAAGAGTCAATGCTATGATTTCTTACAGGGTACAAGATGGCAATAGTCCCAACTCATGTCCCAGGTCAGTCAGAAAGGGCCACCTAATGTGGCCTCTCCCTTGTCAGGAGAGATCAGAACTACAACACAGTCAGCTCTGACCATTTTTGGTGATGGGCTGCTACTGGACCTTCTTGCAGCATTACTGGGAGGAAGGGGAGAGCCAAGAGTCAGGGGCCTAGTCATGTGCGCTGACAAGCCCCTGCTCGCTGTAAGAACTCTGGATTCTCAGTTGCACAAGTACTCTCCTAGAAAGGCCTGTCCCAACCTGGAAGTGGTCATCTTGTCCAGGCAATGGTCTCTGCTGCAAGATTGGAGAAGCCCTTGAATTTCATTCCCCCAAAGCCAAGTCAGCTGGGAGAGAGCTACACAGCATAAGTCAACACAGCCTCAGACATGCAGCAGCTAGGCTGGTCTGCAGAAGTCCTGCTGTCTCAACCAGCGACCTCACCAGGTGATTCTCAGGAAACCCATAGGTACTACACAACAAGCAGACTGGAACAAGGAATGCCAGTCCATTTGGATGACTATGGGAAATCCTAAATGTCAGGGCCAAACCACCCGTTGAAATCAGCCTGTGCAAAGAAGCTATTACCTTCCAGTGGCACTGCTGCTTGCTAACTCCCTCTGGGACCATCTGGCTGTGAGGGCACCTGAGGTGGTAGGTTGCCACAGGAGAGAGTGGGAGGGATTTTCTTTCCAGTCTAAGTTGTCTAAAGGTGTTGGTCACTGTACTGTGTGAAGGCACTGCTATTCTGTAGAAGTCTGCAAAGGCTGTACCCTAAGGGTCTGCAGTGGTAAGGTGGCCATTAGCAGTCACCGGACGGTTCTTTGTGGGCTTGGAAGGGCCTGGAAGGACAGCAAGGTCTGGGGACAGAAGGGAATGAAGTTGGCCCCAGTTCTCCAAGACAAGCCAGGAGCAGGAAGAGGGGATCAGACAAGTCTCTCTCCCCTTAGGGTTCAACGGATTGGAAAGGGCTGGGGGGCTCGGAGAGAACTGGCTCTAATTGCTTCGAGAACCTCTGGTTAAGTTGATTCACAGGACTCTCCCCTTTTGGTCACTACTGTTTAGCTCGGTTTTAAATTCAGGGTCAAAGGTGCTTCCTAAGAAGAGAGGAGGCGGGCCTAAAAACAAGCCACCAGGAAATGAAGTCCAGGGGAGCCGTTTACAAGGACATCCAACACTGAGGGTCCTGGGCTTCCATCCCATCCTGCAAGGTGACTTCCTTAGATGGAGACCACCCATTCACAGGGGAGCAAGGAGCTTTCACCTTGTTCCCAATAAGTCCTCCTTCAAGGAACCAACTGGAGTGCAGCTATGCTCCAGGAGCAGCAGAAGAGAAAGCAGGGGCTTTACACTAATGGCCACAGGCAGAGAGGTTTACAGAAGGAAATCTCAGGGCTGGCATTGTGTATCCAGACAAAGGGTGCTTGGATTATTCAGATGAGGTCTTCCTGGAATGAGGGGGAACCCTCAGGTTACTGCACCCAGCAGGACAGAAATCATGTAAGCACACCCAATCCACAGACCATTTACGTTATCCCCCAGAAAGCTCTTGATTACGCTATTTTTCTTCATGACTACTTAGCACTATCTAAAATCATCCTATTTCTTATTAATTTATGGTCTTGTATCCCTCACCCCCCACCCCACAAGAATCTAAGTGGCCTGGAGTGCAGGAGCCTTGCCTACCTTATTCATGACTATGACTTCACTGCATGCAGGGTCCAGTGCCTGGCACGTACGAGGCCCTCAAATGTTTCCCAGATGAATGGAACTCACAGAATCAACTCTAAGGAACCACAGAGATCTTGTTCTACCTCACAACCTTCCTAACTAGTGGTTCCCCAAGGGTGGTCCCTTGCACAGGTACATCAGGACCCCCTAGAAATCTGTTAAAAACACAGTATTTCAGGGGCGCCTGGGTTACTCAGTTGGTTAAGCAAACAACTCTTGATTTTGGCTCAGGTTATGATCGCAGGGTGGTGAGATCGAGCCCCGCATGGGGTTCTGTGCTGAGTATGGAGTCTACTTAAGATTCTCTCCTTCTTCTTCTGCCCCCCACTCTCTAAAGAACAGAACAAAACATGGTGTTTTAGAACTCCAGACCTGCTCCATCAGTTTTGAGGGTGGGGCTGAGCAGCCTGTCTCTGAACAATGCTTTGGGTGATCCTGATCTGTACTGAGATTGGAACACTGCTGTCCTTAACCACATTTGGGGGAACCACTCCACAGTAAGGATCCCAGGAACCTGTGAGAGACTGATGGATTACACATGTCCTGTTACACTTTCTAAAGAGCTCACCCTCAAGTTTATAAACCAGTCTTCGGTTAGTCTGGGTCAGGGCTTACCCTCCTTTGTCACCCTTGGGGAGTACAGAACTCTGGGAGACCCCACCGGTCCTAGAACCCTGTGCTAGAGGTGAGTCCAAACAGATCCGGCAGCAAAGCACAACCTGGCCGGCAGAGCTCCCTGAGAAGCCGGGCGCTAACTGCTCGCCGCAGAAGCCCCCGCTTTTGCTTCACTGGGTTCATAAATGTAGCTCGAAGGCAATGGCCTTTTCCTGTTTTCTGCACAGGGTTTGTACCTGTGGATGCTCAAAGGCTGTCCTCAAAAGTACATCAAGGTGCACGGAGCCAACTGCCCTCAAGGTCTGCCTCCAGCTGGGGGCTCTCTAAACAGCATCCCGACAAACATGCTCTAGCTTGCCAAACAAAACTATTCATTCCCCTGGAGGTGCCGGGCTTTTGGCCACACCCCTTTCTTCACTTTGACCACAGAAGCAGTGGGCGAGGCACATTTAACTGTATGCTCCTTAAGCATCATCCAGGTGCTCGGTCAGGAAGCCCCACATCCCTGAACTCACTGCGGATCAGGACCAGGTGGGGCTGAATCTTTAGACTCTTCATAGGACATATGAAGAGACTGGTGTGTGAATGCAGAGAATGGGACTAGAATCCAGAAATGTTCTATTTATTCACTAAAAAAAAGAGGGAGATGAGGTCTTCTTGATCAATTTCCTCCAATCTCCCAAAACTCCCTCCCTTCATTTTTCCAAAATAACAACACACTGAGAAACACGTTTGTACAAAAACCACGTATTATTCCTCCCCCCCTCACAAAATTGGGTAGCTGTATTACAGGAACGAAACCAGATCAAAGACATGAAAAGAAAAGTCACCGCTTATAGTGAAATATAACAGTGTTAAGAATTCAGGTATTTTGTAGAATTGTTACCGGCATAGTAAAAGTATTTCCACCTGGATCTTGTAAATTTGAAAGCGATCACATTAAAGACCTGAGGTTAACAAGGGACCACAGTATGAACCAGAATTCCATTTTCCTTCTAAGACCCCAGTGGAAAAAGTAAGTATTTGGAATGAGTTTCCTTTGGGAAAGACTGGTGGGAATTAGGGAACACCCTGGCCATTGTCAAAAGGCACTGGGATCTTTCTGGAGGCAAATGCATTGGAACTTAACTCCAGCAGGAACAAGCTCATTTCCACTCCAAGAGTCCAGAACAAACACACAAAAGGAACAAGGTCTCCTTGGTTCCAGTACTCGGATGGTGACCAGGGCCACCTGGTTAGAGGCAACACCTGAGGGTTTGAAAGGCAAATCTTAATTGTGGTTTTATTTATTTTTTTTGCTTTCTGATACTAAGGAAGAAAGTTCTGAGGTGTTTTATAAACACCTCCCTACACCCTCTCGTACGTAAAGCTTTACAGAATATATAGAAAAAGATATCCAAAAGGTGTTCCACTTTGCTTTCTAAACAATGAAACTGCCACTTGAGAATGTGACATGAAGAGGCCAGGCGCTTTGGAAATCAAGATCCACCAAACATACCCTGCCCCCACCCATGGAAGGATAGAGGGGAGGAAAGAAGGACAAGAAGAGAAAACCAAGAACTCTCAAGTAATTCATCAGCAGGGGTCAAAATGGGCACGACTTAAGGCATTTCTGTGGCTCCGCCTCTGGAACGGCATTCTGATGGTTCAGTCCGAGAACCCCAACCCCAAAGCATGATGCTCTGATGGCCAACTGCGTGCCCTGGGACCCCCAGCTTCTCCCTGACAACTCTGCGACAGTTGGAATGCGAGATCTCACCAAGGGAAGTGAGGAGGGACAAGAGCCCTTGATCCTGCCCCACTTCTCCAATCCAGCCCCAAACCTGAAGTACCGCTTCACTGAGCCCCACTCACCCTGGACTGCAAGAGGTAGTTTGGGGACTTGAACCCCCAGCCATCCTAACCAAGTTCCATGAGCTAAAATGTTTAGCACTATCTACTTACTTTTTTTTTCTTTTCCTTTTTGAAGGTTTTTTTTTTTTTTTTTCTTTTTTTAAAGAGGGGAAAAAAAGAATGAGTACAAAGCAGTGACTAGTAGACTAGACTCAGTGGAGAGTCATCGCCCTAGACTCCTCAAACGCTCCTGGCTCGTCTAGGGAATGAAGGAACGCCTCCCCAAATCCCACCCCTAATCCAACAAATCATCTGCATAGAAAGCCAGAACCGGTGGGCCCAGGGAAGGAGTGTGGGTCTGCTGTACTGCTGGGCGCTCCCCTACCAGGTACTAAAGGGGCCACGCAGCGGGGAGGTCCCTACGGTCCAAGAATAAAATCAGTGGGGTCCCGCCCCGTCCCCATCTCTTTGAATTCTGGTGCATCTATGTGAGGCAAAAGTCTCAGGAAACTTCACCATCAGCACCAATCTTAGCTCAGATTAGCAGAAATAAGGTCACTTATAATGCCTTTAGGTTCGTCCCCTCTGGCTATTCCCTCTGCCCATCACCATTTTTTTTTGGTTCCTATGAACTTAGGATGCTCTCATTTAAAGCAATGACAAAAGGAAAAAAAAAAAAAACAATGATTATAAAGCATTAGCCATGTAAGCATCAAAACCAAACACTGCAGGAGAGCACTGAGACAACAGACATAAACTTCTCATGTTGACAGGACCTGCAGAGAAAGGGTCAGTACACCCCAGAGCAGGACAGGGGGACACAGGCTACCATGAGGATGACCAGGACACACTGGCCCCACAGGCTTCCCTTCGCGTGCTGGCGGAGGACCTGACACAGGAGGTGTCCGAGCATGGAGAGGGCCGGCAAGGGGGATGGGGAAATATGGGATGCGTGCTTGGGGCTGTGAGAAGAAAAATCCTAAAAGAAACCCAAGGAAGCCGAGGAACACAAGTCTCGTCATCCCCCCTGCAGCTGCTGGCGCCGGGCATGGACACTGCCTGCCTCTTCCAGACTAGGGGGCGGCGGAGGCTGGTGGGCCTGGAGCAGGAGGCGGAGGGACTCCGTCCGTGGGCGGTGGTGGCGGTGGTGGTGGCGGCTGCGGCGGCGGTGGGGCATCTGCAAACACATCCAAGAGGGACTCGTCATTGCTGGAAACACAAGGGCTGGGGAAAGAGCCCCTTCCAAGAAAAATGACATAGGAAGTGATTTTCGTTATGCAGGCAATCAACGTGGCCTTCGAGGTGCTGGTGCCACTGCAGGCCGGGCAGGTCAGGTCCCCACCGAACACCCAAGTCTCGGCTAGTGTGCTGAGGTGTCTGCATCTGTCCCAACCTCCTCCGCGGCCCAGCCCTTCCAAGAATCACTCCAGACCTTTGCAGAACTTAATTATAGTTTGATTTTATTGCATTTTAATGGTTCTCTCTGCTAATTTTAACTTCTTCAGTTAAATGATAAAGCTCCTTCCTGGACAAGTTCTGTGTCTTCTTTTCTTTCTCTCTCAGTGCCTGGCCTAGGTGGGCACAAAACAGATTATCAATAACTTCTTGCTGATTAAGTGTCTCCACCAGGGCCAGAGAGCTTCACTCGAGGCAGCTGCTGACAAGCTGGACAGTCCTGGGAGGCCCCACAGCTCCTGAACTGCAGTCCTTGGGTTTTTGGCCAAAACTAGGTCAGGTCCTGAAGGGAACAATTAGTATGAGTGTCTGGGGCTCTTTCCTATTTCGACTTTAGCTGCTTAGCGTACAAAGGAACCCTAGAGATTATTTAATCCAGGGTTTTTTAAACCTCTTGATTTGGTCAGAAATGAAAACATATGAAACAAATAATTCAAGTACAGCCTTGCTTACCAGTCAGTTCACCCAACCTTCCCCCCGCCGCGCCCCCGCCCCAGGAGATTTCCACCAAACTGCTAAAGCTCTTCAAAGCATTTTGAAGGCCACTGATCTTTCCAGTGGAGGAAACTAAGATCTGAAGAGGGGAACCACCTTACCCAATGAGGCCTGCCTGGGACCCTAGAGCCAAGTCAGCAGCTCAGAATCCCAGAAACACTCATCTGTGGCGGGAAGTGGGGGGAGCACCTGAAACCCTCCACATTCTCAAGATGATCCCTTGAGGGCCCTTCAGGATGAAATTCTGGCCAGTGTAAAGACCAAGGATATCGTATCTGTAACTAAATGGCAAACTGGTCAGCTGTCGTGGCAGACCGGCCCTGTAAGGCAGCGAGGTGCAGTGTTTTCTTGCCAAGGAAAAGAAGTATCCGCTACGCTGCAATCGGTGACCAAGGACCCAAGGGAGAGGGTTTTCTACTGTCACGATCTTCATATGTGGCCACACTGCTGTCTTTCTTCCACGCACCTACTCGGTCCTAGCCCCTAGGGGTCCAGAAACATGCCTCTGTGTAGCCTGCCTCCTGGCCCTGGGCAGTCTTCCTGAGCATTACAGTACACTCAAAGCACTTCAGAGTCTCAGGTAACCTGCAAATCTTATAGACTACTCTCTACTCACTTATTTCTTGTTTTCCCAACTAAGGCTCCTGAGACCAGGAATTCTTGAGTCCTAGCTCTCTGTACTGTGAATAGGAGCTAATTCCTTGGCACATACATGAACTGGTAAATGAATCAGGATCACAGATGTGGCTGGGGCACCTGGCCACCACTGGCTGTATTTTGGGATCATTCTGAGATTGACAGGAGTAAAGGACAGGGCAGAGCTTCTGAAGCAACCCTCTGGAGGCCAGGATTGGGGGAGACCAGGATCTACTGGAGAAAAGCCCTGGCTTCATACACATGCCAGACATTGCCCAGCAGGACCTGTGCCTTCTCCACAGAGCCTGCTAGGACCTCCTAGTCCTTCTCAACATAGCCCCTCAATACTCCTTCTTGAGTCTAAGCCGCTACTAGCAATATCCCAGAGGAGCTACAAAAGACTTGTGATTTCTGCCTTAAACTGGTTCTTATTTTTCTTTACACCCTCTACATTTGAACCCCATATCCATAAAAGGCTCCTGTAGGAAAACCACCAGCAATTCAACACGTCTAACAAGATTCGAGCTAGAGAAGCTTAAAGATGAGTGGGTGAGGAATGTCTTTCCAGCACAGACCGGAAAGGTCTTTCCCCACCTTTTCCCACAGACCTCAGGGTCAAGAGTACAGGCCACAAAGGCTGTGGCGCACAAGGCCAAATGACTGTAAGCATCTGCACTCATCACCTGTGTACCGGATCATCAGGGGTGCTGAAGAGCACGGGCCACACACCGATCTTCTGGAACCCACTGTCACAGGCTGCACTGTCCATAGACCTGCTAAACTATAGATAATCTAGAGAATAAAGCCTTCGTCCCTTGCCTCCAGCCCACCCAGAGACCCCACTATGGTGATGAAGTAGTAGTATCATGCTACTTACACATGCCATTAGGTGCCGTGAGGGGTACCCGGGGTCCTAAGATGTTTCCTGGCATTGGAGGCATACCAGGAGGGGCTGGGCCACTCCCAGGGGGGTGGATGTTGGCTGCAACGGTGGGGATCATACGGCCCGGCATGGGCTGCCCAGGGATCATGGAACCTGGACCTGGTATCTGACCTGTGGAAGGAGATTTAAAGTATGAAGGTAAGTGTACCAGGGAGAAAGGGATCAAAGCAATGCACAGGACTGCTAAACACAAAAACCTAAGCCTCCGAAGCTCTGAAGTACCAACAGAGCAATAATCTGTAATAATCTCTATGTCTAGATTTCTGTTTTTTGGGAGGAGCAAGGATAATGGGGCAGTCTATGGAGCGAATGGCCACTCTAAATCCTGGTACAGGCAGGTAGCTGTGAGATGCAATTACAGGAAAAGCACCCTACAAGAAAACATTCGTTTTGGTTAGTGGGTGGACAGTGGCTTGTCCTACATCTTCCTGACGACACAAAACACCAAGCACAGGCCACAGGGGATGGAGAGGACTTTTACTGCACGTCAGCATGCAGTCCAGTCAAGACTGAGCTTCACACAGGGGCTTCGTGGGAGGGTATGTGTGAAAGGATATTGGTCACAACTGTGAAATCAACATTATAAAGGGATTGTGATTGGAAGTTCCAAGTCCTGTTCACGAAAACGCCTCTCCTTCTAGCCCCCACCATGAAGCACTGTGGTCGGGGGGGTAGTGGGGTGGGGGGGGGAGCTGGGGGGTGCACAGCAAGAAAAACAGACAACCCCTTCACCTATTGGTTTGAAATTGACGAGAGGAGACACCAGACACAGGAATAGTAAAACACCTCCTGTCTGCAGTTTCATGCTGAGCCTTCAGGACGTTTGGCGAACTTTTTCTGTAGACCCAGACAGTAAATATTTGGACCTTGCAGATCATATGGTCTCTGTCACAGCTATTCAACTTTTATCACTGTAGCATGAAGGCAGTCAGAGATGACATACACGTGTCACAGATAACAAATTTGTGAGACTGTGTCCCAATAAATCTTTATTTATGGACTCTGAAATGTGAATTTTGTATAATTCTCAGGAGATAGAAACACTCTCCTTTTGAGTTTCCCCCAACCATTTAAACTGTAAAAACCATTCTTGGCCTGCAGTCCATACAAAAACAGGAGGTGGGCCAGAGCTGGCCCACAGGTTGTAGTTTGCCAACCCTGCTTTAAACTCAGTGATTTGGCTGCTGGGCTTGGTTTTAAAGAGCTACAAACAAAGGAGAATAGTTCAATGGGCACAGACCACGGTGGAAGTGCATGCCTCTCTCTCTCGGCACATGATACTCTCTATGGAATAAGGAAAGAGAATCTATGGTGCTTTGTTTTGTTTTGAAATCTAGGGACTTCAGCATGTCTGTAAGGTCAGTTGTATAAAACTAAATACAGGTTTCTAGGCAGTTCCAAGACAGGTGGAAGTCAGAATGCTTGAGGTCCAGGCTTGTATATTTGGGAGATGGGACTGATAGCTCCCGATCAGTTACAATGTAGACAGCAGTACTGGAGATAACCTGCTGGGAGTTCTTGGTTACCGTCTAGAAAAAGGCCTGTCTTAAGAAAGACACACACAGTTTCAAGTCTCACACCATCTATTTCTAGTGTCTGTTCCCTGACCCAGGGACAGGAGGAGGCCCTCACTACTGGGGTGTCAGTGAAGAGCACTCCAGAGGTTCAAGAGTCAGGGGAAGAGGTGGTCGTCTATCTTTGAGGGAATAATCTTTAGAAAGCAAAATAAATCCTTACGTCTCAGAATAAAAAAGACAGCAAGTTGGGGGCTCTCAGGCCCAGCTTTCTGCGCTCTATAATGCAATCATGCAAGAGCCCGCCAGAGGAGTCCCCCAGGTCCATCCACTGGAGGAAAGCTTCATCAAACTGCTTCAGAGAGGGCAAGGGTAGGCGCTGCACTCACTGTGGGGCTAACACGGCCACCCATTCTTACACCAACTGACCATCAAAGTCAAAGCTGTTGGGTGCATGGGCCACGGCGCTAGGCCACATGCAGGCAGAGATGGAGAGCCTATCAATCTAGGGAGGGACATGGAAATTAAAGCACTACTACCAAATATGGTGCATGGCATACATTCCACAGATGTGCAGCGTGGAAGGCACATCTGGGGAAAACCACGAAAGGAGCAGGCCAAAACCCTGAAACCGTCCAGCCAACTGAGACATACCTGTGAATGACTCGGGTTTTGGATGACGTGCAAAGGAGTGAAGGGGGGGATTAGAGACAGGACAACAGCAGACTATTCTAAGCACAAGGCCCAGCTGGAGTTATGCCATCAAGAAACAATACAAGTGTCACCCCCGCTGTTCCCAAGAGCTACCACTCACCGGCAGCACCTTCACACTTGCCACTCCCTGAGGTATGTGCATCACCTCATTAGCCACTGCTGGCACTGCCTGAGGAACAACTGGCTCAAAAAGGTGTGTTTAAAAAAAAAAAAAAAAGTGCTCAAGTAAGAGTCACGTGACCCACGGTCTGTCTGACAGGACTCACAGCAAAGGGGCTTGTGGGGACGAGCCCTGCATGCAGAATGGGGCCAGGATTGGTGACAGGTTTTGAAGGGAGTGTAAGGCTGACGGCCTGTGTGACAGCTTTGAGAACAGAGGAGCTCCAGCAGAGGAGCTGGAGACTAGAGGCGAAGAAGAGAGCTTTTCAAGAGAAGCAGGGACTGCGTGAGGGCAGGCTGAGCAGACAATGGCAGGAGCTAAGGGGTGAGAGGCAGCACCCACAGGCAGCCTGGGAATGGGTGAGAGAGCAAGGAAGAGGGCAAGCGTGCAGCGGGAAGGAGAGAGAATTCAACGGGCGAAGCGCAGTGGGGACGAAGTAGGGAGGACCGGCAAGGACTCCTGCTCTGGCAACGGGAGACACGGGACAGGCCACCCACAGTGAGAGGAGCGCGCTGAGGCGGGCTGCAGGGGAGGTACGCAAATCCCGAAGGCTCATGTGGGCAGTGGCCCATGGAGCCATTCCCTGCCACCGCTCAAGAGGCTCCTGAGTCCCTAAGTCTCTAAGAGTGATTCTCTAAAGGCATTCTGGTGGTGTAATAGGGAAGAGAGCAGATACTTTCGTTGCTGGAGACACGAGGCCCACTTTTAAGCCTGGAGCTCTTATCTCCCAAATGGAGATAAAAAGAACTTTTCATGGACTCGTGGCCAATGGAAACCATGAGCTAGACCAGCCAATACAGCCTGTGCATCAGTGGGTACCAGCCACCTCTTTCTTCCAAGTTCAGTCTGGATAAGAGGCCTTGAGCAAGTGAGGAAAAATATGTTGCCAGCCCTTCTCAGCTCTCTCCAGAAAACTGAAGAGAGTAAGGCACGCCTTTACCAAAAAAGGCCAGAATGACTACTGGTGGATGGAAGAAGGCAGAAGGAAGGGCACAGCAGGTGAGCGCTCACAGAAGTGCTACGGCACACAGCTGTGCAGTCCCACTGCTGCTCGCTTCAGCAGTCACAGAGGTCTACGCTTGGACGTGAAGAGCAATTGGGGGCTGCCCCAATTCCTGGCTCACCAGTGGGGATCCCTGTCAGCAGCCACTCAGTACCATCTTCAACAGGGCAAGTATGGGGGAACTCCTCAGACTGGAAAACTAAACAGCGTGATCTTATTTCCACGTCACCCCAACCAAGATCAAATGTTCTTGGGCAAGTCACTGAGGGTGCCCAGAGACTGAGTTTCTCGAGATTATACAGAGTGAAACTAGGTGTCTGCCCCAATCTCACTCTATGGCTTTCTGTCTGACGGGGAAACTGTTTATTTGTTTCAGTGCCTTATTATGTCACTGGCTCCTCCAACATGCTGTGAGAGCAAATATTTTCATTGTACAGAGAGAAAACAGAAGCTCAGAAAAGTTAAGGGCCTTCTGACAGTCACAGAATTTGTAAGAGGTATCAGATCCAAGTCTTCTAACTCTAAATCCGGTTCTCTTTCCACCACACTATTCTATGCCCAAATGGAACAGTACATGTGAAAGATTTAATATAATAGCCAGCATTAAAAAAAAAAAACTGGGGCACCGGGGTGGTGCAGTCTGTTGAGCGTCCAACTGTCAGTTTCGGCTTAGGTGGTGTCTCAGGGTCATGAGATCAAGCCCTGCGCCTGGCACACACTTGTGTGGAGTCTGCTTAAGATGGTCTCTCCCTCTTCCTCTGTCCCTCCTGCTGCTTGTGCTGTCAAATAAATAAATAAACCTTCTAAAACCAAACCAAACCAAACCAAAAAAAACCCCCTAAGGTGTATACTTCAGTTCTAGCCACCATGTTTTCTTCTTTCCTGTATCAGTTGTAAGACTGCCCTGCTTCCTGCAGTAATTTTTTTTTTAAGACTTTATTTATTTGACAGACAGAGATCACAAGTAGGCAGAGAGGCAGGCAGAGAGAGAGGAGGAAGCAGGCTCCCTGCTGAGCAGAGAGCCTGATGCTGGGCTCGATCCCAGGACCCTGGGATCATGACCTGAGCTGAAGGCAGAGGCTTTAACCCACTGAGCCACCCAGGTGCCACTCCTGCAGTAATTTTTAAAAAAATATTTGTTAGAGAGAGAGAGAGAGACAGAGAATGTGCACGAGTAGGGAGGGAGGGGCAGTGGGAGAGAATCTTCAAGCAGAGCGCCCACAATGAGTGTGGTACCCCATGCGATGCTTGATCCCATGACCTGAGACAAAGCTAGGAGCTAGACACAACCAATTGAGCCACCCAGGCGCCCCTGCAGTGAGCAATTTTTTAATTTACCAAACATATGGTACCCTGCAGTGGGCTGGATGGTGACCCCCGCCCAACAGATATGTGGTACATATTCTAATACTTGGAACCCAGTAAAGGCAACCATACTGGGAAAAAGGGTCTTTGTGGATGTGATTAAGGATCTTGAGATGAGATCATCCTGGATTATCTTGGTGGAAACTAAATCCAATGACAAGTGTCCTTCTAAGAGACACATGGCTGCTGCCAGCCACCAGAAGCTGGAAGAGACAAGCAACAGACTGTCCCCTAGAACTCCGGAAGATAAGCAGGTCTGGCTAGACAATGAACTTCTAGCTCGCAGACTGAGGGAGCCCGTCTGGTGTTTCAAGTCACAGAATTTGTAAAAGGAGAAGATGTAAAGGTGGAGTAA